GGTGATATTTACAAAATGTCGCTTAAATAGTTTTGCCTCATATTATTTTTCAGCCGGGATAAAATGTAGTCGTCACTAAAGCGTTGAGCCGGCCAGTAGGATGGCCATTCAAATTGTTGACAGCCGCTTCTTGTATAACAGCTATGGCAATCTCGGCTTTGAGGTTATTGACAAGTTTTTTTGCTGCAAAATGTTTGCTATTCAGAAATACAAATTTCTACAAATAGTTCGTTGGCACTAATATGACTTGCAAGTTTCGGAAACTATTATGTTTTAATTAATTTTCTGTACAATCTTTAAGATAATATATTTCATTACCATAATCATATTTGCATTTGTATTTACCTTTTAGTTTGGTATAAAAGTTAACTAGTTAAAAAAGATTTTTAAGAAAAAAAATAATTTTAAAAACATTTCCATGCTTTGCTTCATAAAGTAACTCTAACTGAAATATCTCTAAATTGCAAAACTTGAATTTCTCAAGCGTTTTCTTTTCAATACAAATGTTCATAAGGACGTATGTATGTATGTATAAAGGCAATCAAAATTCAATGGAATATTTTCGCATTTTGATATTGGCAGACGATTTTAGCCACTTGATGAAGTTTGACTTTAGTATTAAACATCAAAGTTGAAATACAATTTATACACAAATATTTACCTGGGCTTAGGTATGCTAACTAAAAATTATGCAAACTCTCGTTAACGCTTGTGCAAATTTGCAAATTGTTCAAAAATATGAAATTCTAATTGAGATTTTGCTTTACACAAATACATATACATATATGTATGTACGAGTATCAAAGGCTGTCAATCAGAAAACTTATAAAGCATTTGCAAAGAATTTATGTACACATTTCAATCAATCAATTTTAATTTGCATTTCAATTTAAATATGCACTTGCAAAGAGTATTTAAAGATATGGAAGCAAGTTTGAATATTGCTGCATATAATTAAAATAGGATAATATAAAATAAATAGCAATAATATAAATAAAATGAATTCACACACATTTTTTGTTTAACTGCAACTTGTACCAGTGAACCCGTGAAAAAATGGTAAAAAATCAGCGAATTTTAAGCTATTTTCTTTAACTCTCCCTTACACAATTGCTCTCCCAGATGTAGCACGCCGCGCTTTCTTTTTCATCCTCATATCAGAATGTGACAATTATAAAGAGCTTTTATTCGTGTGCTACTAAAAAGGTTAGGAGGATAAAACTAGGGATAAGAATATCAGAAGAGAAAAAAAATATCAGTAAAAAAATAACTACAAATTTAAAAAATCTAAATAAAATATTTGCTGCAGGTGTAGGTGTATCATTTTCACATAGAACTGTCATTGCAAGTGCTACAACGCTGGTTTTGCTCGCATACACCAAGTGATAGCTACAATAGCAAAAGCAACAATACCCGAGAAATCCAAAAAAAAGAAACAACCGAAAACGTGACAAATAGTTTGCTCCACTACAAAGCTCATAAATTATGAACGTTATTATAACTAAAGGGAAACATGGCACACGTTCTCTCAGCATAGCACAAAATAAATTAAAGAAAAAATGGCGAAAAGACAAGGAGTCTGCATAGACACCTACAACGTCACAGGCAGCAGGGATAAACCAGCATCATCAAGTTGCAATCAAATACGAAATTCTGGCACACTAAATGAATTGAAAGAGCAAACGGGTAAAGGTATCAGCAAATTTCTGCCAAGGCATGAAAAATTCAAATGATTTTTACTGTAAATTCTTGCATAAGGTAGGTTTGCAAGAATATTTTTTTTTTTTCGTTTTCCTCGGGATGTACTTTCTCGTATGTACAACACAAAACTCTGTTGCAATTTATGTTTGGACCTTCTTTGGTGAAGCGAAATTATGTCATGTGCAACCTAAATTTTTGATGAGCATTACACGAATTTCTTTAGAAACTATTATATGTCTATATGTATAGCGAACTTTAACTAAGAATTCATGAACTTTTGTGCTTAGGAAAATTGTATTAAGGTTAAGCGAGTACATACATATCTACATACACGAGTATATAGTGATTGAGGTATGTATGTAGGTCAGTTGATGAACAATCTCGTGTGTAGTTTCTGAATTTTCATGCAACAAGCGTAAGGGCGCAGCAGTTACCCACCGACGAAAAATCAAAGGCAGCGTTTGTTGAAACGACCTATTAGTAGCGCGGTGTGTACTTGCAGTTAAAGGCAGTTGTAAGGGCACCCCACTGACTAGCTTTTATTGTAAAATAACTCTGGTTTACAGCAAAAATGTTCATGGGATACCACTATCCAATTTCTATGTAGAATTGTTCGGGAACTTTGAGGCTAATTACAAATATCTCTGTATGAATCCCTAAAACGTAAAAAGCAAATATTATAGGCTATTTCTAACCAGATAAAACCTCTTAAAGTATTCGATGGTTATTATTATTATTATTATGTGCCATATGCACCGCGACCTCTAAAGTGGTCTTTTGTTCGTGGCCCCCGGCCTATATGGGAAGGCTCTTAATGTAGCCTAGTACCTCCAAGGGCGTTTTGTTCCAAATTTCAAATGGATTAAGGGTAGCGCCACCAAAGTGGGCTAGTCTGCGCCTAGCGAGAGCATCACATTCACAGAGAATGTGTTCTGGCGTTTCTTCGTCCAGCTCACAGAAGCGACAGACGTTTGTTTCTGAAAGATTGATTCTACTGAGGTGGTAACGAAAAGAACAGAGGTCCTCTCTGCCTAAATTGATTAGTTTCTTTGAAACTTCGTTTGAAGGACAGATAAATCGTTTGGCTTGTCTTTGCCCTGGACATTCCATCCAATGCCTGTTGAACATTTTGTCTACCCAGTTATTTATGGTCCCCTTTATATGTGCTTTGGTGAGCCCACAAAATGGTTCCGGACCATAAAATACTGCGGCAGCTCCCTGTTTCGCTAGGCAGTCAGCATCCTCATTGCCATCATGTCCCTCATGCCCTGGTACCCATTCCTAGTAAAACTGTATTCTTGTCACCAAGAGCATTTAGGACATTGCGGCAATCATATACTAGCTGAGAACTTATTTTGTGGGACTTCAGGGCCAGTAGGGCTGCCTGACTGTCCGACATAATGCAGATATATTTCGATGACGTTCCCCTTCTAAGACATTCTCTGCCACAAATTTCTATTGCATGAATCTCCGCCTGAAAGATGGTGGGGTAGCTACCCATTGGTATCGATTTTTTAAAGTTCGGCCCAAAAATGCCAGCCCCAGTTTAACATTTTCAAGCTTAGATCCATCAGTGTACCAAACCTCTCCATTAGGTTTGGTGTATGGGTTCCCTGTATTCCAGAGAGCTCGATCTGCAATGTGTACCTCAAATTTCCTAGAGATTTCTAGTTTTGGAACCATTGCATCGCGCATTTGTAGTATGGGGTCATTAGCGAATTTCATTAGGACCTTCATGTGACCCGTCATATCTCCGATTTTCAGGTCGGAGGTGTTCAGGATTCTCAGTGCCGCTGTGGTAGCCTCCCTTTCTATTAAAATAGGAAAGGGAGGTATTCCAACCAGGGCGCTGAGTGCATCGGCCGGGCAGGTCTTCATAGCTCCTGTTATGCCAATGCAAACTATTCTGTGCAATTTACATAGCTTATTGCTTGCACCTCTTTGTGTAGCCTTAGTCCACCATGCTAAGGGAGCATAGGTTACTATTGGCTTAACGACAGTGTTAAATGACTAGTAGGTCATTTTGGAGGTAAGGGCCCATGTTTTACCAAAAAGTCGTGAACGGGCAAAGAAGGCCTTCATCGCCTTGCTGATAACAGTGTCTAAATATGCATTCCAGTGAAGTGTTTTATCAAGAGTTACTCCCAGATATTTAGCTTCACTGGAAATTTCTATTTCTGTGCCGCTCAAATTGTGAATGGAACAATAATAGTCTTCGTAGGATTGATAGTTAGGCTTTTATCCTCACACCATTTGTGTGTGATGCGTAGGGCTTGTTTCATGCGGTTGGTGATAGTTTTGTCATCAAGCCCTGTTATGCAGATTACCAGATCATCTGCGTAGCCTTGCGTATTAAAGCCTTCGATGGTTACTATGAATGCCTGCTTTTTTCAAACGGAGCTTTTCATTACTGAAATTTGTTGGCTAAAATTGAATAGGATAACTCTTTCAGAGGTAGATACATTAACTTGTTCTCGAATCCAAGTTAATATAGAGCACCGATTTCAATGACAGACAAGAAGGCATTCATTAGGATCGAGAAGGCTAAAGTAACAGCTACGCAGTTGGCCTCGACTATAGAACCGGTGCGATATCGGCAGAGATTGTCAGAGATTTATAGTATAAAAAAGGCACTAAGCTTTTACACATGGGTNCGATATCTTCTTGTCAGAGATTTATAGTATAAAAAAGGCACTAAGCTTTTACACATGGGTATGGTTACATCTGAAAGGGGGGCTATCTACGTTGAAAGTCAGACAGCCCTGGATTCAATCCTTAGTATAAGAATTTCAATCAAAACCTATGAAATGATATGCGTTGCTGGCGCCACTTGAGCCATTTTACAACGCTTTTATCAACTTGCAATGTTGTGGCTCCAGAAACTTTCAATGTTGTGGATCCAGAAACTTTCAATGTTGTGTGTCCGACACCATAAAACCTTTGCTTTGCAAGGTTCCTATAAAAAAGTCTAGTGCATAGGGCGACATCTGTAGTGAATAGGGCGAGGTAGATGACATCTAGATGTCGCCCTATGTACTACGTTCGCTACAGCGGAAATAGACGACACGCCATTTCTTTAAATAAAATTAATTGGTGCTCGTTTGTATGTACATACATATGTAAATGCATGTGTGTGCACCTTTCTATTAATATCGTTGAATTATTTTAATATCTATTGCAAAATTTTATTCAGACAGGACTAAAAAGTAGAAAATAAATAATATAAAAAAAACTTTTTAATATACAACGCTTTTATAAATGGACTAAAAAGTAGAAAGTAATATTTCTCAGTCCCATAGAATTTGTTTTGATAACTTTTGCTTTTGAAATTTTAGCAAATGTCGTTATAACCAATTTATGAGATTGAAAATGAAAAGCGTGGGGCGCATGCAATACAAATTCGATTTAATTGACAATAGGCAAACTACATAACATAGACCTAAAATTTCTTCAGCGAAAGTACAAATTTGAGATCGATTTTAAGCGGTCGTTATTCATATATCCACATACATATGAACATATATCACCCTTCATATCAATTCAGGTGGCTATTATATGCGCCCCACGCTTTTCATTTTCAATCTCATAAATTGGTTATAACGACTTTTGCTAAAATTTTAAAATCAAAAGTTATCAAAACAAATTCTATGAGACTGAGAAATATTACTTTCTACTTTTTAGTCCATTTATAAAAGCGTTGTATATTAAAAAGTTTTTTTTTATATTATTTATTTACATTGCTCTCGCGTGGCATCAAAGGAATTGAATTATTAAACGAGATATTATATCAGATTGTTAGAAATGGATCCGAACTGTCTGATAATTTACTGAGCCGCAACAGATGAGCTATGAAGTCAAAGAAGTGATTGCGAGACCTCAAAGTCAATATTTGTCAAAGGTTAGGCAGGAAAGGGGCTTACATATGTATGTATGTCGAACTTCTGATATGCATTGAAATTAAAAACAAAATTTGCGCTTTTCACAAAGGAAGCGCCTTGTTAAAATGCGTGGCTGCGTCAGGGAAGTGTTAGCAAGCATATTTTAAGGTCATAAAGAAACAATGACATATATTATTCAAAATAAAAGGAATTATACACCAAAAAGGCATTTGAAATAATAACGTAAGCTCTGGAGTTACATAAAGCTTAGAATAGATTAGATTTGCAAATACCCAAAAATTGAGACGACTTCAAAGGAAGCAAAATGGCGTCCTCTATGCGCTATTGACTTCGAAAGAGCGCAAACCATAAACAAATAAATAAATACATACTGAAATTTCGTATTTGCGAGGTACCGCCAAAACTGAAGTTAACCATTCAGAAGACTACTAAATACCATCACCTTCATGTTTTATGGAGAAAACAAACTACGAGCAGATCTAAGCAGATTATGGCTTTTATACGCGTTATTAAATGCTCGCTGCTGTGTGGCAAGGTACTGCATATGCAGGTTGGCCCCCAATGAAGGAGCGTGCACAATGCTTAAAATATAAAGAGCCACCTGAAGAATCAACCAGCTAACATTTGAAATGGTTGTGTAAAAAAAAAAAAACAAATGATGTGAATGTCGGTGTAGTAATGGCGGTCGTAAAAATCAGTAAATGCGTTTAACTGTCAGTAAGTGCTAAAAAGCGCTGAACAAGACGAGAGCCCTAGGCAACTTGCCCGCCCACTATTCAGTGCTTTTATTATCACTCACCGACAACACATTCATAGCAGCAGTCATAATCGGAGCTGCACTAAAGATTTCACTTCACTAGGCTTCTATGCTCCCGCATACAATTACATACACCCAGGAGAATAAGTCCCCGTACAGTGTTTTTTTTTAATATTTGGAATGTTTTTCATAATTTTTTTCGTAAATTTTTCAAAGAAATTTAGTTCATTCTGCTTCAAATGGCATATCAACTAATGTTTTCGAGCTTTTACAAACTTGTGGAAAATTCGATAAATTTTCACCAAAATTTTCAACTTTTGCACAAAATGTTGTGCATTTTTTTTTTTGATGCAGTTTCGTAGTTCCTTCAATTTCATATAATAAAGTGCAAGTTTTAAGGGGCTATAACCTAGCGTTGATTTTTGAGATTTTTTTCCAGATGATGTTGCGCATTGTCTCCTTATAACGAATGCGTGCGTGATAGGTTTTTTGTATGTGAAAAAATTAAAAAGAGCGTGAGAAAAAACAATTCTCAAAAATCAACAAAACTGCATACTCAAACAAATTTTTTAAAATTTTGTGTAAAAGTCGAAAATTTTGTGTAAAAGTTGAAAATTTCGTGTAAAAATTGAAAAATTTGGTGAAATTTTTTCGAATTTTCCGAAATTTTTTAAAAACTTTGAAATATTAATTTATATGCCATTTGATGCAATATATTTCTTTTAAACATTAACGAAACAAATTTATTACGAAAAACTTTGCAAATATTAAAAAAAAAAACACTGTACGGAGACTCCCGCGATGCGAATTGGGGCAACTACATACAGTCGTCGTCATCAGTGATTTGTATATGCGAAGGGAGTGCGCTGGTGGTAGCGAGCGCTACACATTGACTAGCTGCGGACAGAGCTATGTGTTCCACGCTTTTGGCTACGACTTCCTTCCATTCATTTTGATGCTTCTTTTCATTTATGGTTACAAGTACTCATTTTTCGGTTTCGGTTAGGTCGAACAGGGTTGTTTGCTGCAGCTTCACATGCCACGTTTGCGGTTGTTGGCCACAGCTGCAGCCGCATCCACCTACTATACATAAACATATGTATGTATGTATGTATGTATGTAAGCCGCCGACGTGTGCACGTTTTAACGTATTAAATGGACTGATTGCTGCTTCGTTGGTTACAAAAGTGCAGACACGTGCCACATGGAAGCTGCCACCACCGCCACCGCTCCGATCAGCAGTGACTTTGCAAATCAGCGCGCGCAGTTGTCTCTATCCTCCTTCATATAGTAGTTGCTACCTACCACTTGGCCGAAGAACTTAAAGCTTTGAATTTAAATACATACATGCATACATATTTATGTTGTAAGTACAGTTTAGAAAAATGTGTTGCAAATGCAATTGATTTCGTTTTGCTGCCATTTTTCCGCATTACATGAGGATGGCCCGGTCCTTTGTCCTGCGAGCTACCCTTAGCAGCTGCCCACATTAATTCGTTAGTCGCGTGTCCAGCTTTTTTAGTCATTTGATGTTGGCGCTGACAGCGACTTTGACGCTATGTGGTGGTGATGCATGATGAATTATGGCTACTTGCAGGTACTAAGTAGGGCTTATATTTTTGTGTTTTTTTTTTTCTTTTTAACGAGGTGGAGGATTTGCAACAAAAAAGCATGATTTTCAAAATTTTCAACTTTTCCATTTCCTTAATAATAATTTTTTATTAATGGTAGATTTTTACTGGGCACTAAATTACAAAAACTTTGTATGACAAAGTTGGGCATTCAAAATACATTTTTCATAACGTTAATAAGAAATCATTGGTAAGCTCATTTCCACACTTCATTTCATCAATGACAAAGTTTTGAATGTAACAATGCCAAGTGAAATTCGGAGTAAGGCTCGAAAAGTTTTCCAAAAGTTAGATTAGGGTAGTGTATGCTGGCTGGGCACTAAATTGCTCTCATAGACCAAGAGAACGTTCGTAATGTTTCCAGATACATCTACAGGAATTGCATCGCTGCTCACAAACCTTGGGCAACGTTAAAGAAGATTCCGGCAGATTCTTCAATTCACTTCCGACTGAATTTGAGTCAAGTTCGCTTTGAATTCAAATTGGCAGCGGTTGAAATTCACTCGGAAGCGAATTGCAGAACCTGCTCGATTGCCTCGCGTTTGACGAATCGAATTACACACTTTGGCCATCGGCCGGTTACTGATTGTAGGTCTTGGAGATGGACTTCACCAAGAGCCTTTGCCTGCTGAAAGATGCACCCACACACTCAAATCAGATGCTCCACTGTTTACTCGTGATAATTTAGCTCGTAGACTTTTTGTCTTCCACTAGATCTATGTATGTAGTTTGAAGGCATGTGCTCCAGGCAAGCAGAGCCCCGTTAGCAGTCATACCAAAACCCTTGAGTCTGCTCCTCCTGTTGGTAATAAGAAATCGTACGATCTCAAAATAGCCCTTTCAACCCTACATCCCTATGAATCGGTACTTCCGCCGCTAGTGAGGTATCTGCCCTTATCTTTCATACTTTCTTTGTTAGGACCCAATACAGGTGGATGGTTTTGGCCATGGCTAGCCTTCCTATTGCTGCATTAAAGTCTGCAATGGTCTTCGAGTGGCTACCTGCGAATTTATTTCCTTCGATATATCTGACGGTTTCCTTATTGCCAAAATTTCAGCCTGGAAAATACTACAGCGATCCAGTAGCTTAAAAGACCTGCAAATTTCCGGTTCAGAACAGCAAAACGCAACTACCACTCTTCCCTTCATTTTGGAATGGGATCAATGTGTAAGACCAGGAGAAAGGCCCAAAATGCGTACCAACATTCTTTTACGTGCATACAATTCCATTGAGGCCTTCGCTACCCACACTTCCACATTAAGTGGTGCCCTTTAATTTAAATCTGACTCCTAGTTGGAGTGTCACTTCCTTAGCCCAGTCGCTGGTGGTCTTCAGCGCCTGCTTCTCAAAGTTATGCTTCAAGCATTTCGAGAGCTGAATTATACACTATACTTAAATACATATACATATATTGCTTAATAGGTTTTTCACCAGTATCCCAAATGTGAGCTAATAGAAGAGGCCTACAGAAATGAATCCATGGATTACTGCCATTTTTACCGACAGCACAAAGTTTAGCACAAATACGGTGATGTAGAGTGGAACAAAATCTTCTCAAAACGGCAATCGAATTAAGGAAAATACTGAACGAATTATAACGAATATGTTCTTGGGCTTAACAAAATCTCTTGAATTTGCGGAGTAGTAGAGGTTGGGTACCAGCCTAAAGTCAGTTAACTTTGTGCGTGGCACCGGCGTTCCTCTATCTGCATGCAAATACGAACTCAGATCGGCATACACGCCTCTCTGCTAGCGAAGACTTCTACCAGAAAAACACTCGTGGAATCTAGTAGACGAATAGACTTTTCAATTTGGAGGTCAGTTGAAGAAATCCTCGGCCCTACGTCACAATCCAATTTTTGAGCAGTCAATAAAAGCAGTATGCGTCCACTTCTTTCTTGATGCATAATACAGTTGCAGTAACATTTTTTCGAGAACGCATGGATCGATAAAAGAACGCATGGATCGATAAAAGAGCGCAAAATACGTGCATGCCGCCGCATACGTTATTTGACCAGACGCA